GCTTTCCATGACTGTGGTGAAACAAGATAAAAACAAGGTCACTCTAGTCTGGTTGGTGTGCTGTTTCCACCCATGAACCAAGAGGTCATGGGTTCAAATCCTGATCAGGCCACATGCAGGGGTTATGGGCTCAATCCCCAGTGACGGTCCAGCAGGAGGCAGCTGATGGATCATGTTTCTATCATCCCTCTCTCTTCCTTACTCTCCAAAAATCAATAAAAAACAGGTGGGTTTTTTTTTTAAAAAGTCACTCTATAATCCTGAATAAAGACGTCACAAGAAGGAAGGAGGGAATGCTGTCAACCACAACAATGAGCAAACATCATTTTCTCCTGGCTAGGAGCAGTGACTACTGCTCCTTCTCCAATGATAGCTCTAGCCTCTCGGTTCCACTAGCTTCCTAGATAAAAATTAAGATGCCCAAAAGCCAAATTGTCCCTGCTTTCTGACAGCACTCAGTCCAGAATAGACTCCTCACTTTCTTTAAACCTCCCTAAAATCACCTTACCCAAATCTTTAATAAGCTCCGCCTACTCCCTCTTTTTTGAGACAGTCCATGGTTTTCCAAGGTAAAGCTCGCCCCTGCTGCAGTAATAAGCCCAGTTTTGGCAACATGTGTGTTCCTGGTGGTATTTGGCTCACGGGAATAAACAATATCACAAAATATTTATACGATGCTGTTAATAAGAGTATGTATAAAATTATGTATATTTTGACTTCACGTTCTCATTACATATTTGCACACATACACACAAATTATGACTTTGATACAAGAAAGACAGTGGATACACACCAAAAGAGTAGTTATCTCTGAATGTTGATATTATTATTTTCCTTTTTTCTTTTCTGCACTTCGTATTTTCCTTCAAAGACTGTATAGAATTTAAGAAGGGGAAAGGAGGGAGAAGAAAAACTCCCTCCCCAAAGGATACATTATGAGTGCGGAATCTCATTCAAAATAGTGGTCAAGAAATAAGGTTTTCAAACTTTAGCATATTAGAATCAATAGGGGCATTCACTAAAAAGATTCCTGGTTTTCATCCGTTGAGTGCACTCAAGAATTTCTATGTTAGACCCCAGATAATTCTGACCCATAAAGTTTTGAGGAGCAACCTTGAGAAATGCAGCTTTTGGACAAGCTGGAACTTGAAGGATGTACAGATTAACAGAGGAAGGAGAGGACTTCCCAGGCTAACAGAAAAGCATGAAGAGCTACAGGCATGATGCTGCAGGTGCTGGGCACTGGGACAGTGAGTGGTCTGATGCAGATCGGGCTCTGAGGACACCTGAGTTGACCAAACTGATGGAACTGAGGGCTGCTTTAGAGAACAGTTGGGAACTGGGCAGGTTTGGGAAGGTAAGGTAGGTACATACATTTCATTTAAGTTTCCCACCTGCACTGCTGACATCAATCCGCAATTAACTAGTTTCTTCCACACGTTTTTTTAAGAACCAAGTTTAACTTTTTCTTAAACATTTCCAACAGCAATTTTAATTTTTTCGACCCTATTAAGTCTTTACTATGCTCCAAAGAACTCCTTTTATCTTGGTTTATGCTGCCAGTCAATTGAAAACCTACTGCCAGCCACCAACGAAACACAGAAAACAAGTTAAAAAGTCCCCGATTGGGCATCTATATGACTCAGAGTATAAGACATCAATCACTATCTTCCAATATCCTGAAACTATATGGGATTTTTCCAATGAGTAATCTGATCTTTCAATTGTGTCCAGAAATTTTTTTAGTGGATAAGTGTTTCTAACTTTAACCATTTTAAAGGGGATTTTTCATATTAATAAATAGATTGGGCTCTTGTCTACAATGCACAAAGTAACTGTCTCCTTTCAGTTAAAGGAGACTTCAAAGAACAAGCTTTCATTATGCTGATGACAACTGCTTGCCCTAAATTACACATCCTGTTTGCCCTAAAATATATACACCTACATTCCCTCCCCGCCAAATATAAGTATTTCAGTTGGAAAATGCCCCTCAAATTTTTATGTTCTTTAAATGCAGGTGAAAACAAATGTGTGTGTGTGTGTTTGTGGGGTGGGTTTTTTTTTTTGGTGTGAAAACCATTCATTTTTCAAGTAAATGGAACCCCAAAAACAAAAAAAAGCAATTAAGAATTTACCAAGAGATGTCCTATTCTATTACAAAACTACTATGCATAAAGAATGTTACTAAAGTGAGGCTACATAATGTATTTGTATTGACATTATCTCAGCAGAAAAGGGACTTTGGAGCTTGTAATCATAAGAAACATAAGCTACTTTCAGTTGATTGGGAGTAGTTTTCAGGAAACCCACACTCCAATGAACTAAATGCTTAGTCTGATAAACGCTGTTTCAGACTTAATGTGCTCCCACTACTAGAATGCCTCTCTGGGAGGTTCATGCCCAAAATACCTTAATTGTGATAACATAGGCAGAGCATGGTGCTTTAAAGCCTCATAGACTTGGCTCAGTCTCATTCTGCCACCTATATTTGATAAATTCATATGCTTTTTTAGCCTTTGTTTTCCTGTACATAAATAGAAGTATCATCTACCTCATAGTACTGTTTGCAAGGATTAAAGGAGAAGGAAAGAAATACTGGTGGCAGAATTGCCCAAGGAGTGAAACGTCTTTTGATTAGAGAATAAACCACAGCAAATGATAAGGAGCAGTTAGAAGAAAAATGAAGAATACAAAACTGCTCTGCAAAACAAAAAGGGTCTTAAGATGCACAAGCAGTGAAAGAAGGAAGGAGAAAGGAGACCTGATATAGAGAAACGCTGGGGAGAAAGGAGAGACTATCACCGAAAGAGAAAAACTGACAAGAAGCTCTCTGTGGCCAGCCTGCCTCTTCATAAAACAAAGATGCCCCAAATTCTAGCTTAAGGTCCCCCCACTCTTGTCCTCTAATAGAAATTTGCCACCGTGCGACCACACCCCCGCCCTCCAACAGAAAGGGAAGTCTGTTGGCTAAAGCTACCTTGTGTAAAGACACAGCTGTCTTGGGTAAAGTCTTATTAAATGTTTGGTAACACAACTGCCGTGCATGAAATGGTATTTTGAGGAATCAAGAAAGTGGACTGTGTTCCAAATTAGAACTTTCACAAGGTGATGTAAGGGAACAGCCATTAAGAGACAAGACACCGGCAGGCTGGGAAATTCGGCAAAAACACAGAAACAATGCCAGTGGTATCTGGAAGAAAATTAAACCTCAAAGATATTGGGAGACAGAGATAAGAAGCAGGGTTATATTATTTATATATCACGGGCCAGAGTGACCTCAGTAGGCTGGAAGGGTAGGGCGAAAGACAGGCTGCTAACATCTGGTTACCGGCCTTTGGTCGGCAGTCAGTAAACAGCTCTCTTCCCTTATCTTATGGAGGAGATACAATGACTGTATCAGATACAACTGTGTTCAGGCTCCTTACAAATATCAAGGCAAAGAGGCAAACTTTAAAAAGTGATATAAAGCTAGCATGAAGTTGTATTTTACCCCAAGTAGTCAACCAAGACTGCAGAAACTGGATGATATGGGGAGGCGGGAGAGGAAAGTTAACCAGAAAAAAACATACCACACAGTCATTTGTCAAAATCCACGTATAACTAACTTCACAGCATAGCTAGGCGATCAAAGATTTTTCCAAAATGCCTAATCGGAGAAAGCTGTGATTTTGAGGAAGGCAATTGAGCAATTTGGGCGGGAGCGTTAGTTACCAGGCTTAGAATCAACATCTCTCTCTCTCTCTTTTTTTTTTTTTTTTTGCAGTATGAATGCTCCTGTCAGTTCCCCTTTGAAACATTCAATATGGATTTGCAAATAAATGACGAAATTACTATGTTACTGTGTGTTAACGAAAACGGTTAGTCCTTTATGTTCTGACGCTAGAGAAACTTGAAACTTTCCCACCTCTTCAAAAAGAAAAGAAAAAGAAAAGGCTAACCGTGGTTCTTAGGTAAATGGTGCAGCCGCTCCCTTCTCCCCGGGAGGCTCAGAGGGCCCCGCAGGCAACCGAGTCCCTGAGAATGGAGAAGGCACTGGCCGCTGGGATGACTAGTGCACAGGTGCCGGCACGGCATTCGCTCCATTTAAAATGCCAACATAAAAACGTACGGTAGCTCCATACGTTTGAAACAAATCAAGGGACTTTTTGTCAAACCGAATCCCCTCGTTACTACTTGAGAAGCAAGGGGAGTAAACAGGCGGCAGGAAAGTCACGAGGGAGCCTCCCACCAGTTCACCGGTCTCCCAAGTGCAGTCGGTGTTGCACAAGGTCCGCTTCTGCAGAGACTATGGCTTCAACCCTAGAGCATCCCACCAGGGTAGAGACTCACAGCCAGCTCGACCGCCCCCCAAACCCGCTGCGCCCCAGCCACGCAGGACTCGATCGGGTGGGCAGTGCAGCGTGAGAGCCCCAGCTCCTTTTCCCAACCCGGTCCCCAGCAGGAGCCGGCCGCCCACCCGTTCCTACCTCGCCTCATGACCTCCGCTCCGGCTTGTTCCGCGGGGCCGGCGAGCGCTCCGAGGCGCAGGCGCCGCGGCCTCTATTTGTAAACACGCTCCACGTGCGCTCGCCCTACCCCATCTGCATCCGGCTCCAGGCACCTGAGGATG